AGTGTGTGTTCGTCAAAGTCTGCTGAATGGAAGCAATAGAACTGACGTTGCTGTTCAGCGTCACAGAAAGCTACAGTCCCTCCTTCGTAGTCCAGACAAACCTGGATCTTGTTAAGGGGGCTATTTAGATACAGAAGGTCAGGAGGTAAAGTCAGAGCTCTGTACTGACCATTGTGAAGGCCCACAGCCCAAATCCCTTCCTCAGGTACAAAACTGAACTGTCCTTTTCTTTGTACAGACTCCTGGGCCACGCCCACAGCCCAGAAAGTTCCATTCTTCACATCCACTGTCCAGTGATGTTTCCCTGACAAGAATCCAGCAGAACCAAGCACACAGCGGGCCGGGTCAAACCTCTCGGGGCTGTAGGGCACTTCCTGCCGGAAAAGTCCCCATGACACACTTCTCCGATCATCAGACACAACAAATCGGGGATGAGCAGTACCTTCGTCCATCACCACATACTCTGCAAAGAAGCAAATGCAACAATCAGATATGGAGCCAAGCCCTGAGAGCTCTCTGGACAATCACATTTAATCATGATAGTTGGCCCCTTGACAAATCTTCAGAGAGGGAATCCAGGATTAGGGCATATATATGTGTGAGCCTGGGTTATTTCCCAGGTTTTCAGAAAAAAAATTACCAAAAAGCAAGCGGTTATACCAGCCAAGTATGCTGCAATGTCTGTGCATGTGCTGACAACCCCACAAATGAAACTGTGAAGACCAAAAAAGTGATACAGGATGGTGGGCAGGTGGCAGTCGATGCAAGACTGTCCCACAAAGGATAAAAGGCATTTGTGGTAACCTTTGACCTATTCTCCGTATAAGGACCAAAATTATATTTATTATTTATTTAATGTTATTTATAGTCCGCCTTTCTCACATGGACTCAAAGCGGATTACACACAGTGAGTCAGTACAATCAACACAATGGGATATTCAATAACTCAAGTATTTAGGATACTTAGAGATTGGACCCACCAGAAAGAACAGGAGAATAGCGTAAGTGTCAATATGACATATTAAGTGGTACAGAAATTACGTACTAGGATCTTGCATACAATATGCTATATACAGCAGAAGACACCACAAGACCCGATCCTTTATCCAAGTAAGTTTATGAAACCGTTCTGTATCGTGCAGCCTTATTGCCTGTGCAGAAACACCCTCTTGACTGACTCAAGTGTTGCATAGCTTGCGGAAGGCCAGGAGTGGGGAGCTTTCCTGACCTCCTCAAGGTGGGAGCCACAATGGAGAAAGCACACATATGGGCAGTTGTTGATTTTGCCCATTTGCAGGTTAGCACCTGCAGAAACCCCTGTTGACATGAGCAGATACACATATGCAGTCTGCCCACTGGTCAATCTATCCTTAATGAGCCACCAGGGGTCGGATGGGGCTGGAGCTCTCTGGAGCGCAGCTCTGGGAGTGAGCAGCCCAGGGGGCGGGGCGGTCACATGACCAAGCCCCGCCCCCTGCTCCCAGCAGGCCTCAGTCAGTGCCACAAGGACGCCGAAGAAGGAAAGTAAGTTGTCTGCCTACCTCCTCCTCTGCTTCCCCGGGCCCTGCTGAGGTCTGCCCCCCCCCCCATATTGTGCTTCCTGGTGCCGCGGGGAACCATGGCGCTCCGGGAGCCCTGGCCACCCCTCCCCATCCACCACATCTCTCTCTCCCCGTCTCTGCCTAGCGAGGCTGCTCCAGAAGCCTTCGCTAGGCCTAGAGGCCCCATTCCCCACTTTCCCTTAGCCACAAGGTATAGATAGGAACTCTCAGTGTGGGGCAAGGGATGCTCTGTATTCTTGGTGCT